ATATATACACATATATATAGAGTTATTGATATCATTTTAAAGGGTGTTCATTCGTCTTGCATTTGGCGAAAAAAAATACCTATCAATCTTGAATAGAAGTCAAGATATTAGAATTTAAGGAGGGGGTCGCCTGGTCTGAGAGGCAAAAATTAGCGAGAAAATGGCAGCCAAAGTACCGCGACTTCCAAAAGTTGAGCCAATTGAGCGTCCTTTGAAACTGGAAATTATATATACATTCTTACCGTACTGCCTTTAACAAACGTTGTTTTTCGGTATCATTCACACAGAAATACATTTATAAAAGGACATATAAAAGGTGTATAGCAAAAAACAAAACAAAAAAAAGGCTGATTACTTTGATTTCATTGTTTTGACGGGCGCCCGATTTCACCATGTTACCATATATACTCTGTCACATTTTTAAGTATACACTGTGTTAAAATTAAGATACCTAGTTTCACAAAAAGTCTATATTCTTTAAAATTTCAGGAATACGAATTCAATCAATTTTAAAAACGTAAAAAAGCAAAAACAATACGGAATGTTAACATAACAGGTTTATTGACGACTTACAAGAGTGTGGGGGTGGTCAACAAAAGTAATACGATCAGTACAGTAGCGTTGATGACGGCCTGACATCGTCGCCGCCTTGAATCAACACAGTTCTTCGTGTTACATTAAAATGTCTCGCAACTGTGGATACTAAGGCACCCCCGCGGATCATTCCAACAAGCTGATTTCGCACATTTTCTCGTAGGGCGTGACATCAAACGTAGACAAAACACGTTTTATCACTGGCGAATTGTTACAAAAATGACAAAACTTTGATGTGTGCTTTTTTTAAAAACAAATCATTGCCGTATTATGAATAATTCTCAAAAAAACACGAAACATGTAACACGCATGCAGATACAAAACCACTCGCGCGTTCAGAAATCTGAAAGCAGCTCACCAGCGACAGGTAAGGTGCCTATATCACGTAATTAGTGTGTAAATTTGAAAGTAATTGGTGGCATAGATTTTGTTTTATTGAGCTTCAACATATGTATACTTAAAAATGTGACAGAGTATACTTCCAAGCGGGGCATTAAATAACATCTGTCATTTCCTACCTGGCTGACCCCATCTCCCACCAAATTAACCGAATCACCCACAAGTGGGTCATTATATTATCGCCCTGGTTGGCAAGCACTGTCCTAGATCCGCTTCTGAGATCCTCGGAAGTGGAGAAAAATGCTCCCTTTCTGTATATATATAATGTATATAAGGAAACCGTAACAGAAATGAGAGAACGCTGCAATAAAAACGACTGCAATGAACACCCCCCCCCCAAAACAACAACAACAACAACAACAACAACAACAACAACAAAAACACAAACTAAAAACTAATAGTTTGCTTGCAGTATCCCTGAGGAGTCCTGAGCGGAAGGGAAAAGTTCATTAGCTGCGATGAAAATAATTATCCCTGGTCAAGAAAGAACGCTGGGCATAGCCAAAGTCACGGTAAAACAAAACATGAGGTATCACTTACCCGACAAATTGGCTAAAGCGACTACAAAAGACAGGTTTTGCCGACACGACATCGCCAAATTGACTGCACTAAAATATTGAGTAGCAAAGGCGACTGTAAATAGATGAGGTATTAACGTATCTAAAGTTAATGAAAATGCAAAAAGGAGGAGAACATCAGTAGAAAGAAGGGGTCTAGTTCCCCCCCGTTTTAGGTAATGATTTAAAAACTGCCCGTTTTAGGTAATGATTTAAAAAAAACTCCCCGTTTTGGGTAATGATCTAAAATCGAGGTGGTTTTGGGTAGTGTTCTAAATGGAGCTGGTTTTGGGTAGTGTTTTTGGGTCGAGGTGGTGTATGGTAGTGTTGTATGTGTATGTGATTTACGGGGGGAAACAAAAAGTTGCGTTGTTTTAGATTGAGTAGAAAATGTTGATGTTGTGGGTTTAGGTGGGAAGTGGTAATGTTCGAGGTATCCCGTGTGGTTGTTGTTGTTTTTTTTTTGGTGATATGTTGGAAAAGCAGCCCAGC